TGTGTGCATTGGATACAGCTAAAGCAATGAGCTCTGATAACATCCCAGCTGCTGTGATGAAGACTTGTACTCCAGGAGATAGCTGTGTCTATGGTCTGTTCTAGTATATGTACAACACTGACACCTACCTGACAAAAGTAGAAAATTGCTCATGTTATGTCATGTCCACAAAAAGCACAACAAATCCAGTTTAGCCAATCGTCTCCCCATTGGATAGATAAGTGCAGCTCCAACAACACAAGGAGCTTAACAGCACCCTAAACAAAGCAGCCTGTTTGATCGCCATTCCATTTTTTCTTAAAACATTCACTCCTTCCACCACTAGCACATAATAGCAACAGTCGACACCATCTACAAGATACACCATAGCAACTTGTCAAGGTTCTTCCAAATCAGTGAAGAACAAGAGCAGCATGCATTTATCAACCTCACCACCTTCGAGTTCTCCTTCAAGTCACCCACATTCCGACCTGGAAATACATCTGTCTCTCCAGGTCACAACCTCCAATTTCCCTACCAATGAAAACTATGGATGAATACATACCACAAGGACTGGAGTAGTTCACTACTCGGTATCTTGAGGACATTTAAAAGAAGGGCAATAAATATGGGCCTTGCCAACAACATAGTCAGTGATTAATTTTTGTTTTTAAATTGTGATATTTCCAGGCTGCTCAAAAATGAACAGCTCAAAATAGCTCAGCATTATAGCCAACAGGTCCGAGAGGACCTCAGCCTAACACAACTATAGTCCACAATCAGGGACCTTGATGTACACTAAATTTGCATCAAGCCTGCAAGTGTATAACAAACTCTAATCTGGAAGGAAGCCTATGCCAATTACAAAATGCTGCAGAATTAGAGTATGAACTTAAAAGTTCATTTGATGCAGTTTAATTAAGCAGTATTCAAAAAAGGAACTACCCCATTTACCTTTACTTGTCACTGAAGCAGAGACAATGTACCTGTTTAGCTGCATCTTGCAAGCTGGAGTCAGGGCAAATAACCACATCACGACTGCACGTTATAGGCTCTTTACATGTCAGCCCTGCCACCGTTACCATTATCTGAAATATAAAGAGAACAACATTGATTATCACTGCCTGTTGAAAGGTCATTGCAGAGGTTCACCACAGCCCAGCAGTAAGGCACCATGAATGCTCAGCTTCTCAGGACTGCCACTGGAATGCTGGTGAAGCAAAAGAAAACATTTAAGAATGTTATTCAGCATCCACTTCAAATGTGAGAAAACAGAGTACAATTCAAGAACAGGTCCTTCCAGACCCAAAAAGATCCATGCAGTATTGAGAGATCATAAGCAATGACAAACCTCATCACTGGCATTAGCAGTAGGCTCCATGCGAGGAGCAAATTAAGACAATTAAATAGCACTAGCTTCAGTATACTATATTCTTACCTACTGTAAGAATAACAGAAGGTTAAATAACTTGAGACACAGGCCATGTTCCTGTCTTATAGAGTCATACAGCATGGAAACAACCAGTCCATGCCGAACATAATCCCAAACTAAACTAATCCCACCTGCCTGCTCCTGGCCCATATCCCTCCAAACCTGTACTTAACAAAATGTCTTTTAAACATTGTAATTTTACCCACATCCACCACTCTCTCTGGCAGTTCAGTCCACACGCAAATCACCCTCTGTGTAAGAAATTTGCTTCATGTCTTTTTTAAAATCTCTCTCCTCTCACCTTAAAAGATGTGCCCCCTAGTCTTGAAATCCCCCATCCTAAGGAAAAGGCAACTACTACCATTAACTCTATCTAAATCTCTCATTATTTTATAAACTTCTTTTGGTCACCTCCTACCTACATTCCTTGCAACCTCCTACATTCCTGTGAAAAAGTCCCTGCCTATCCAGCCTTTCTTTATAACTCAACTTTCCATACTTGGAAACATCCTGGTAAATCTCTTCTGAACCCTCTCCAGCTTGATCATATCCCTCCTATAAGTGGGCAACCAGAACTGGACACAGTAAGCAGACACAAGGGACTTCCCATGTGATATTAGTTGGAATTACAGCAAGCAGCATGAGACACACGTTAGTAAGACAGTCCTGTGACAGCTGTCTTTCTAATGTACAGCAATAGCAAACTTAAAATGACATCAAATCACACCTCCTACCTCAGCAGTGGACAATGTAGGGAGATAATGGAATAGAAAGAGGTGGAAAAGCTACACACAATATTCAAATTCAATAGTAGATTACAATTAAAACCAGATTTTAAAAATTCACTCTCGAGGTCTACCAACAGGAGGTTACATAATAGCAAATTTCACCCACATGATCCCAGATTGTTCACCTTTTAGTGATTTGGTCTGACAATTTGGTTAACGTTTAACTTGTGGATACATAATAACCAGAGTAAATCTCTATAAAAGAGATTTAAGATACAAAAATTAAAATACATTTAAAAACCTTCATACAACTTGTTACACAAGTTTAGTAAATTTTTTCAAAACAAGAATTTGAATCTTTGCTCTCCACTCCATTGCAATTTCAAATTGTCTTGTTTTAAAACCCTGTTCACCTCCTTTGGTTTTTATTTCCCTTCTTTTGGTTTTTATTTTCCTTCTTGTATTTGATCAGGTTTCAAATCCCATGAAATCTGTATTTTTTTCCAATCCTGATTAAAAGGCATTGATCTGAAATGTTAATGGTTTTTTTTAAAATCTCTCTCCACAGATGCAGCCTGTCATGAGCATTTCCACCATTTTGTTTATTATAATTTCAGATTTGCTTAATTAGTAGCCATCTAGCACTATGTAGTCGAATGCTTGCAGTTCAGCAAGTATGGCTGCTGCAGCATGCAATCTATTCACCACTCCAGTGCACTGAGTAATCATTGTATTGGTGATGTTGCTTTGAAATGAATGGTCAGGGATCAGGAATCCTGTTCAAAGTTCTACCCTCAACCGCCTTGAATATCAGGTTGACCAGAAAGTCATTCCTTTGGTGTTTGGTGAACTTTCTATACACAAGACTCTCCCCACTTGTGTACTTTTCAGTCATTGTAGCCATAATACATGTAATTACCAAGACAGTTTAGATGCAAAATGGAGACATGAGTGCAAGACATGTTTCTTTTTAAGTGACATTTTAATAGCAGAATCAGTGACTTTTTTTTTTTTTTTTTTACAAAGTCACCCATAGGATTCATTCATTGATTTATTAATGTCCAACAGGGAACAAAATCCACTAGCGTTAACTATTCAAGTTTACATAGGACTCCAGATCCAATGAAAATTTGGTTGACTCTTAACGTTCCTCTGAAATTGCATAGCAATCCACTCAATTGTATGAAACCGCCACAGCAGTAACAGAGGAGAATAAATTGGACACAACACCTGGCATCAAAAGCACCAACTAACCAGTCAACATTTCAAAATCCTCATTCCCAATATCCAAGAGTTTGTGCCAAAATTGGGAAAGCTGCCCCATGGACCTGTCCAGCAACAGCCTGACAGTCATGCTCATCAAATCCTTACCTTACTGCCAATGTCCCAGACACCAACATCACCATTTTTAGGCATGTCCTGTCCCACTGACAGGGCAGACTCAGAAGCAGCAGCACAGTGCTACACAGGAGGAAGTGCCCCTGGGAGTTCTCAATATGGTCTGCACACCCCATGAGATCTCAGCATCAGTTCAAACCAGATGAGAGAAACTGCTTTGTGATTACTACCTGCAGTTTTGTCGGTCACCAACTGGAAGAAGAAAGAATGTATGCTTGGTGGAAAACTTTCCATAATTAGGTGGCTCAGTAACTTTACTACTAAGTGAGATCTCAAAGACCTGGCTTCCAGCAGGTGAAGAGAAACAGGAAGGAAAAAAACCGATTCACCCTCACCAATCTACTTGTCATGAATATGTTTGGTCCATGACACAGTATTGCAGAGTCATTGTGCAGAATCAGTCCCAACTTCATACTGGAGATATCCAGCAGAATGTTGTGTTCCTATTTATGCTAAGTGAGATAGAATTAGAACAGATCTAGCAGCTTAAAACTGGGAATCAATGAGGCAGATTGAGCTAATCAGAAGAATTGTAGTAAACCACAATACATAACCTAACATATCCTTCATCAAGCAGGAACAGCTTCAGAAGTACTTAAAAATGAAGTGCCAATCTGTTGAAACTATATAGGACTATTTGCATGCTAAACTCCAAAGTCAGCATGCTGAAGAGGAAAGAAATCCCACAGATAAGTAAAAGGATCAAAATTCTGTACCCTAAAATGGTGAAGAGACAATTAAATACCTAACTAAAGAAGGCAGCTGCATAAACACCCCACCTCCAGTGACAGGGGAGGGTAGGGCATCAAGGCAAAAGTCAAAGCTCTCACACACGTTCTGAGGAAGGGTCACTGGACCCAAAACGTTAACTGTTTTTCCCTTCACAAATGCTGCCAGACCTGCTGAGCTTTTCCAGTAACTTTGTTTTTGTTCCTGATTCACAGCATCTGCAGTTCTTTCAGTTTTCAGAAGTCAAAGCTGATGATTTTACACCATCTTCAGCCAGCGAAACAGAATGGATAATCCATTCCCAACAAGAGGTCACCTTCATCACTGATGCCACTTCTCAGAGAATTCCTTTCATTCCATTTCATATCAGGAAATAGCTGAAGGCACAGGATACATTAAAAAGGCCCTGACAACAGCATCTGTTTGACAATAGGAAACTGTCAAGCTTTTCTCTGTTCACAAAAACATGGCAAATCCAATCTAGTCAATGACTGAACCAGTCTATTCTCAATCAGCAAAGTGATGCAAGTTTTCATCAACAATGTTACCAAGCAACATTCAGCAACAGCTTGCTCACTTATGTTCAACTCGGGCTCCACCAAGGCCACATAGCTCCAGAACCCTTTACAGTCTTGTTTCAAACATGGACATTTTCATATTCATACTTGCCAAGGCTAATGGAATCCTGGCTTTCATACCAACAGGACTAGAACACAAGGGAGTCGAATGCATGCTTCAGGCACACAGAAAGCCGATTAGACCAAAATTGGACTTCTGACAGCATTAGGGAAGATATATTAGGATTGGACAGAATGTGGTGCTTATAATTTACGTGAATTATACTTGTTCCCTCATATTTTAAACTGCAAAGACAGATTAACTATCAAGGAGTACAAATCTCAGTTATTTCGAAATTAATTGATACCTTAATAAGTTTGAATCAACAGGAAAAGATGGATTAGATACAAACTAGAGTGTCTAGGTCTTATGGACTATTCAAAAAAGTTGAGTCCGTTCCTTCTGGAGTGAAATTAGGAAACATGTCTGCATGTAAAGAGTAGCAGAAATTTGGAAACTTCTTCCAGAAAAAACAACTAGTGCTAAGTCAATAAATGATTTCAAAACAAAGATTTTGTTAACAGCACGAAACAGTAATATATAGATGCCTATATCATCCAACCACAAGTTGCAGGGCTACAGGCGAAGTACTGGAAATGCAAATAAGTGCTTGACGATAAGCACGAACAAAGTGGGCTGGCGACCTCTTTTCATGCTGCAGAATTCTAACTATGACTCCTTGATTAAGAAAGTGACTGATCAGGCTTTACCAACCAAGTGACCTATTCTTACGCTCCATTTAAATTCCCCAACTGCAAAGCTAGAATTTGAACCATGAATTATTGGGCTTCTGGATTCCTAGGTCTGTAACATAACTGCTGAACTATTCTAGCTGCAGCACAAATCCGCAAATGCATTTGGTTATTTAAAGAATAACTGAAGCAGTAACGAGAGAACCGCTGGAATTTACTAAGAGGTTAATCCAGGTCAAACAGTTGCAATCCCATTGACTGCACGGCCAGGCAGGACCAGCCCTGCTCTGCAATGATTGGATATTTTGCCTGCCAATCATGGCTGATGACCGAAGGCACCGAAACTACACCATTTCCCAATTTAAACTGGAATAGATTTATTATCAAACCACAGATCAAAAACAACAAATGTGCCTGCTCACCCCAGCCCGACGCATTAGGTCTGTAGGAATCACCGTTTCCATCTCCTCGGCCCCTTTAGCCAAAATCACCAGCGCACGCTTAGCCGCCATCTTGGAACAGGTGCCGGCTGGTTCGCCTGCGCGCTGCATCATACGGGTCGGGCTACGACTCCCGAGTCGGGCCCGAATACACCGCGCCACAAATTCAAAACAGCCGCACTGCAGTACTGACAGCGTCAAAAGTAGAAACAGAAACTTCTAGAATCGTTCAGCAGGTCTGGCAGCATCAGTGCTGATGCAAACGGAGAGAAACAAATTTAACATTTCAAGTCAATGACCTTCCATTAGAATTGATGTATTGAGCTGCGACAATACCTCAATTTCTCCCTCTAGAGATGTTGCCTGATCAGCTGATATTTCCAGTATTTAGTTCAAATTTCCAAATTTGCAATATTATATATCACTGCTTCAAGATATATTGTATCCAGTCATAAAATCATTGTAATAGCAGGTTCTGACTCTAACATCCTAACCCCAAATTGCCTAATTAGCACAATCCTAACCCCAAAGTCTCCACAGTAACCTTCACAATCCTAAATCCTAACCACTTGTCCCTAATTCCAACAACTAACTCTAACCCAGTATAGTGGCGCAGAGAGTGCTGCAATATTATCAGCTTATTTATGGTACCAATGGTCAGTCATGCTACAAATAGTCATTCTGTTTTTGGGACAAAATAGTTACAGAAGGCTCAATTTCCACCTATTCTAAGTCTATTCATTTACACCAAGTTAAAATCAAGCTTTGAGATTTTCCACTTGTGGCGAAGAAGCCTCATATAAAGGAGTCACCCAATGAACCAAAAAAGGAATTGAGAATGAATTGAGAATAACTTGGTTACCCAGAGCTAATAATGTAGAACATTACCAATGGGAGTGATTATGATGAACAGTATAGATGTATATAAGAGGAAGCGAGATAAGAACATGAGGGAGAAAGGATCAGAAAGTTTTAGATGAGGGAGGATGGGAGGAGTTCACATGGAGCATAAACACTGGCCTGAATTGTTTGGGTAGGTGTCCCTGTGGATATATTACATATTCCATGTAATGCTTGCAACTCTGTAACTGCCATATCATTTTAGAATAGTCTTTGGCGATCCTTATATTTTTCAAATTAACCAACACAGGAATGTTTACAATATTCATCTCAATGTAGAATAACCTCCTTGGGTAGCATTGTATCAGGTTTTTGGACTTACACGTTTTTGGACTAGCTGTACCTGTACCTTTACTATCAGTGTTTCTGTGCCTGACAGAACTTTTTCCAAATACATCATATCAGAATCTTGTCCCATCATCAAATTATCATCTTTCTATGTTGACCTACATGGAAGTGATTGAGCTTGTGATGTAGAATTTGTAAGTAGCTCAGTAAGGGTATTATAACTATTTTCTTGTAAATAGAGTCATTGGAAGGCGATAGCTTAGTGATATTATTGCTAGACTGTTAATCCAGAGGGGGTGAAAAGAATTGTGAATGCTGTGAATCAGAAACAAAAACAGAAGTTGCTGGAAAAGCTCAGTAGGTATGGCAGCATCTGTGGAGAGAAATCAGAGTTAACATTTTGGGTCTGGTGACTCTTTGTCAGAACTAATCCAGAGACCCAGATAATATTCTAGGGACCCGGGTTCGAATCCTGCCAAGGCAGATGGTGGAATTTGAATTCATTTTTAAAAATTCTGGAATTAAGAATCTACTTATGACCCTTGAAATCATTGTTGATTGTCAGAAAAACCCATCTGGTTCACTAAAGTCTGAAAATCTGCCATTCTCACCTGGTCTGGCCTACATGTGACTCCAGAGCCACAGCAATGCCCACCAAAATGGCCTAGCAAGCCATTCAGTTGGACCAATCATTACAAAGTATCAAAGACATGAAACTGGATATATCAACTGGCATCGTACTAGGCACCAGAAAAGACAATGGCAGAAAAAGCACTGTCAAGCGTGCAAAGTCCTCCTCAGTAACATCTGGGGCCTAGTGCCAAAATTGGGAGAGCTGTCTCACAGACTAGTCAAGCAACAGCTTGACATAGTCTTACTCAAGGAATCATACCTTACAGACAATGTCCCAGACACCGACATCACCATCCCTGGATATGTCCTGTCCCACCAGCAGGACAGGCCCAGCAGAGGTAGCAGCATGATGGTATACAGTTGGGAGAGAGTTGCTCTGGGAGTCCTCAACATTGACTCTGGACCCATGGAGTTAAACATGGGCAAGGAAACCTCCAGCTGATTACCACATACTGGCCTCTTTCAGCTGATGAATCAGTACTCCTCCATGTTGAATAACACTTGGAGGAAGCACTGAGGATGGCAAGGGCACAAAATATACTCTAGGTGGGGGATTTCAATATCCACGGTTCAGCAGCAGTACTACTGATCAAGCTGGTCAGATCCCAAAGGACATACCTGCCAGACTGGGTCTGCGGCAAATGGTGAGGTAACCAACAGGAGGGAAAAACATACTTGACCTCATCCTTACCAATCTGCCAGCAGCAGATGCATCTGTTCATGACAGTATTCATAACAGCAACCACCACAGTCCTTGTGGAGATGAAATCTGGCCTTCACATTGAGAATAACTTCCATCGTGTTGTGTGACACTATCACTGTGCTAAATCGGACAGACTTTGAACAGATCTAGCAACTCAAGGCTGGCCATTAAGGAGACGCTGTGGGCCATCAACAGCAGCAGAACTGTACTCCAGGACAACCTGTAACCTCATGGCCCAGCATATCCCCTACCCGACAATTACCATCAAGCCAGGGGATCAACCGTGGTTCAATGGAGAGTGCTGGAGGGCATGCCAAGAGCAGCACCAGGCATACCTAAAAATGAGGTCACAACCTGGTGAAGCCACCAAACAGGACTACTTTCATGCCAAACAGCATAAGCAGAGCTAGACAGATAGACAGAGCTAAGCGATTCCACAGCCAAAGGATCAGACTTAAGCTCTGCAGTCCTGCCACATTCAGTCGTGAATGGTGGTGGACAATTAAACAACTCACCAGAGGAGGAGGCTCCACAAATGTCTGTTTCCTCAATGATGGAAGAACCCAGCACATCAGTGCGAAAGATAAGGCTGAAGCTTTTACAGCAATCTTCAGCCAGAAGTCCCAAGTGGATTATCCATCTCGGCCTCCTCCAATGGTTCCAGCATCACAGATACAAGTCTTCAGCCAATTCAATTCACTCTACTTGACATCAAGAAACAGTTGAAGACACTGGATACTGCAAAGGCTACAGGCATGGACAACATTCTGGCAATAGTACTGAAGACTTGTGCTCCAGAACTTGCTACTCACCTAGCCAAGCTGTTCCAGTACAGTTACAACATTGGCATCTACCTGACAATGTGGAAATTGCCCAAGTACATCCTGTACATAAAAAGCAGGATAAATTCAACGCAGCCAATTACTGCCCCATCAGTCTACTGTCGATCATGAGTAAAGTGATGGAAGATGTCTATCAAGTACTATTAAGCAGCATCTGCTCAGCGATAACCTGCTCAATTGTGCCCACTTTGGGTTCTGCCAGGACCACTCGGCTCCTGACCTCAGCCTTGGTTCAAACATGGACAAAAGAGCTGAATTCCAGAGGTGAGGTGAAAGTGACAGCCCTTGACATCAAGGCTGCATTCAATCAAGTGGCATCAAGGACCCCTGGAAAAATTGGAATCAATGGGAATTCAGGGGCAAATTCTGTTGGTTAGTGTCATACCTGACACATAGTAAGATGGTTGTGGTTGTTGGAAGTCAGTCGTCTCAGCTCCAGGGCATCTCTACAGGAGTTCCTCAGGGTAGTGTCCTATGCCCAACCATCTTCAACTGCTTCATCAATGACTTTCCCTTCATCATAAGGTCAGAAGTGGAGATGTTCACCGATGATTGCACAATGTTTAGCACTATTTGTTACTCCTCAGATACTGAGGTAGTTCATGTCCAAATGCAACAAGATCTTGATAATATCCAGACTTGGGCTGACAAATGGCAAGTAACAAATGCCAGGCTATGACATTCACCATTAAGAGACAAACTAACCACCACCCCTTGACATTCAATGGTATTACCGTCACTGAATCAAGCACCATCAACATCCTGGGTTTATCATTGACCAGAAACTCAACTGAACTCACCAGTAAATGCAGCAGCTACAAGAGCAGGTCAGAGTCTAGGAACACTGTGGTGAGTAACACATCTCCTGACTTCCCAAATTCTAACCACCATCCACAAGGCACAAGTCAGGAATGTGATGGAATACTCTATTTGCTTGGATGAGTGAAGCCCTAATAACACTCAAGAAGCTTGACACAATACAGGATAAAGCAGCCCGCTTGATTGGCACTATACCCACAAGCATTCACTCCCTTCATCATTGACACTCAGTAGCAGCAGTGTGTACTATGTACAAGATGCTCTGCAGAAATTCACCAAAGATCCTCAGACAGCACCTTCCAAACCCATCTAGACCACTTCCATCTAGAAGGACAAGGACAGCACATACACGGGAACACCACCGCCTTCAATTTCCCCTTTAAGCCTTTCTCCATCCTGACTTGGAAATATGTTGCCGATCCTTCACTGTCACTGGGTCAAAATCCTAGAATTCCCTCCCGAATGACATTGTGGGTCAACCCACAGCAAGAGGACTGCAGCAGTTCAAGAAGGCAGTTCACAACCACCTTCTAAGGGCAACTAGGGACAGACAATTAATGCTAGCCAGTTAGGGATGCCACATCTCACAAATGAATAAGTTTTTTAAAAATGAGTTAGACAGCAACGAAACAGACACTTTGGTCCAACTTGTAAATGCCAACCAGATATCCTAAACTGATCTTGTCCCATTTGGTAACATTTGGCCCATTTCCCTCTAAACCCTACCTATTCATGTACCCATTCAAATATCTCAGCAAGGGACCCAGCAATCTCTTCCCCAACTTCCCATTCAGTTCTGGGTATATCTGATTAGGTCCCGGGGATTTATCCATCTTTATGCATTTTTAGACGTCAAGCACCTCCTCCTCTATAATATGGGCACTTTAAGATATCACTATTTATTTCCTCAAGTTCTCTACCTTCCATATCCTTCTCCACAGTTACTACTGATGCAAAAT